CTACAAAACAAGATGATAAAAGTTGATTTTTTGTTAATCTTTCCACACCAAAATCAGCAATTTACAGAAAAATTCAAACTTCATTTTATTGGCTTTAAAGTTGGCCAGCTATGAGAAGAATGAACTAAAGCCAGTGAAAAAAAAAGAGAAACTAAAAAATTATTTCACATTGAAGGTATTGCCTTAGGGGTCAGAAAAACAATTGTAAAGAAGACCAGATTTGACCTACAGGTTTTAAATTTGGCACATGTGCCCTTTAGGTACTGTACTTTTTTTTCAGACAAATTTTAATTTAATATTATTTATATTATTATTATAAAAACAAAAGAAGTGAAACAAATATGAGCATGGACAGTTTGTCTGTGCCTAACCACGACTATGATGTCGACTCTGACCTTTCTTCATCATCCGTCTCCGCTCCTTCTCCTCCTCAGTAGCTGCCGCTGTTTTAACCAGGAAATCACAGAAGCTCTTTCTTTCTCCATCTTTCTTTTCTTGACATTAAGCTGCAGTTAGTAATTAAGCTAAATCACTGTTCTGCTGTTCAAACTGATGCAAGTGAAGTTTAAAACTGAGGTTTAAAGGTACAAAAAAAAAAAGGCAGGGGTATTTGATTTTCCAGGTGGAAAAGGGCCATATTGCTCAAGCACCACTTGACATCTATCTGTGCACATCCATGTCTATCGTGGTATATATTGTTGTTAAGTTATTGCCCAGCCCTAAAAAACCCTCACATTAAAAAAAAGTTCACTCAAAAGACAATCAAAGATTGTTCTTGACTCTGCTGGTTTGCAGCACTTGCAGCACCATTGTGGCTCACATTATGAAACTTGTCTAAAATCATCTGGTCAATGAAAAATGAAAGACAGCCAAAGGCAAAAGAAAACCAGACACAGAAGGGATTATTGTCACCTGGACTAGCACTGAACYAAACCAACCAACATACCAGGCCAAGCAAAGAAAGGAGGCATTTGTGAAGGCATGCAGGGCACACTGTGGTGCTCAAGGGGTCAAACTAGATTTGTTTGTTTGCGTCTCATATCTGAACAACAGCCTTAAAATGCTTTGTTTGAACTCCTCGGCTGGTGTTGCATCTTTCATTCTTTATCTCATGTTTGTGCTGCACCTGAACACGTCCACCTTCACCCTGTCTAACTGTGGCACATTTTTACCCCGACGATCAATGGAAGTCATGGTTTCTCATGTCAGCCCTTCTCTTTTTGGCTAACTGACGCTTTTTTACCCCCATTGTTTCCCTGTGTGTCTKCTCTGTTAGACTAAGTAAAAGTGAAGAGAGGGGAGGTGAAAAAAAAGAGGAAAACTGTGGTTTCTCGCAAGTTAGTTCACTTGAAGACTTGAAAGGATATCAAACCCGAGAGGCAGCTTCATTTAATTGACTTGGGCAGACGTAGGAAAGGACCCCCCCCCCCACTCCCCCCTTCTCCTCTTCTCTGACTCCCTCACCTTGCTGGCTGAGCAGCACATATCTGCTCTAAAGGAGGAGAGCACCTGAGCCTCCAATTGGAGCAGGTACTGTTTGATGAACCTATTTGTATTCTGCTGTCGTGCCGCTTCTGCTGACCTGGRAATAAGAGATACAGGAAAGCAGCAGCTTTATCTGGCCAACAGGCCGCCCTTCATTTTTTGCCTCCATCCTTCCCTTGCTTGCCCACTGACCAAACTCCTCTTGGTGTGTTTGAATCCTTTATTTTTCCTGCAACGAACAGGCCAGATGTTGCACTATTAACGCCTTTAGCAAGACAAAGAATACCARCTCCAAGCAGTATTCTCTTGAGAAGTCAGATGTGATAGCAAGAAATAAATATTGTATCTTTAGTCATAGTTTATTTAATTAGCATAGCTTATAAATACTTTTGGACAGCAAGGGCTGACTTCTCAGTACTTGAGGCTTGARGTAGTTCACCTCTTTTGTTGTTTTTTGTTTTTGCATTTTGGCCWATTGTAGCCCTTATTGAGTCTTTTTCTGCTCATATTTGGAGTTGGATATTCCTTGATTGATGTTGAGCTCCTTGGGTTGCATAACAGGATGTGAATAAACATATATTAGGGAGGCAAACAATTAATCGACATACAATTAATTGTAGAGTAATAGTTTATTAGACTAAAATTTGTTCAATTTGATTAASTGATAACGTCCGGAAAGATAAACCCTCTCTTACACTCTGTTTCAATCTGAGTCAAAAGTAAAGACATCAAACTTTAAGCAAGTTTTTAAATTGTGTTGAAAGCCCAAGTAAAACCGGAGTTAGAATAAAACATTTAGGACCTTTTTTTTTTTCTTAAAATCACGTTCCAATTTGATGCGCATCACGTCGCGGGCAGCAAACACGGCATGTTGTCTCATAGAAAAAACAGTGCAATACGCCGTGAGTTTCCTCTTATGCTTGAGCTGAAAAAATATAATCCAGTATGTATAAACTTTATATATATTTGAAACGCTCTACCAACACTTGTACTGCACTCGATCGTTAAAGTAGAAGCAACTGTTGTTGTCTCTGACATGCTCCGTTTTGAACACAAGTAGACCGATCTGTCATATGARTCTTCTTGRCTGTAAAAGATCCACAACACAAATCAACTACAGCATACTTCATTGTTGTTGTTGATGATTATTGTGTGTATAGCGATAGCATAGCCCAACTGACCACAGTCTGAGTGTAAAATTAAAGGTTTCCACTGCGGTGATAAAGCCAACATATACTGTAAGTCTGTATAGTTGCTCAGTAGAAGGACTAGCAGCCCTTTTAACCCTCAGAGAGTGATTAAGATTGTTTATACTAATAGCCTACTGCTCAAACCAACATGTTTTGTGAGATTAACATTTTATGCTGTGTTTGCAGCTTTCACCTACATGCAAACAGCATTTTTAAATTAAAAAAGAACTTGAGAAACAATGAAATGACTATATTTTGTGCATGCTCACTATTGCTTTGTGTGCTAGAAACAACGACGACAAACCCACATTGACCTTTTTTTTATTTTAACGTCCAGCTTTCTCCTTGAGAATGGGAACCAGCAGGATCCAGTTTATGGGTACTGCCATGCTGTATTTTTGGGACCAGAGTCTGCGCACCAAGAACGTGAGGCACTTTCTGAACACTATCTTGCTGTCCCATAAGCTTTCTTTTAAGAACAATTGAGCCGAAGTCAGCTAACAAAATAATGACAATAATAATAATAATAATGATAATAATAATAGTTGAAGACATAGTAAAAAGGTAAGGACTTTGTGAATCAAGAGTTAATGATCAAAAAGAGCTTTTGAGGCATATTTTTATTTTTTAACAAGACAATGTTCAATTTGTTTCAAAGAATGGGGCATGACTTAAAATTGGGACTAGGACCAGCCCATCCGGACAGTTATCTCCTTCCAGTTTCAACTTTGGGTTCTGGTCAAAGATTTAGATTTTGTTAATGGTGACGAGGTGAATAGAGAATATTCAGATCTCTTTTACATTTGTTTGTGTCTGACTTTGTTGGGAGTTTCTGCTTCTCTATAGAGAAATTTCTTTTTTGTTTTAACCAAAGAAAGCAATATTGGTTAAGAACTGCATCCAAGGTGATGTAGTCGGGGCCTTAAAAACAGATGGCGTCCAGCGGTTCAAAACCTACACAATTTTACGCTCTTGTTAAAGCAATAATTCACATGATGAATTATAAATGTAGGCAGTACCTGAGGGGAAGTGCTCATTGATCGGCCAGTTGTCCACCTGCAAAGTTGCATTGCCTCCGTTCCTGGTGAATCGGACCAAATGGTATTTACCGTCGTTTACTGGCGTGCTATCTTCCTTCACACTGATGTCCACTGTCCCAATGTTAAAAGTCACACCCACTTTGCCTTGTTCCTAGAAGAAACAGAAGAAAGAAAACAAGAGTTGGTGTTATAACACTTAATCTATTTAATGGCATCAAAACCAGAAAGCATTAACAAGCCCAAGTCACATTAAATGTGCCATCACTGTCAAAGCTAAATTTATTAATCACTTGAACTGTGTGTTTTCAGTGACTCTCACTGCACGTTTTGTTGTGCACTAATGAATTAATTATACGGTAAACTAAGTGTAAAAAGTTCAACAAAGCAACTTGGATGAATGCTCCCAGCTGGTGCTAATGGTGAACTACACAGAGAACCTGAGGACGTTTGTGCGCAACGCTTCATTATACAACTGTAATGTGATGAAAATAGGCTGCCAGCAGAGATTGTAATGATGAGTAATGCTCCCTGCTGCCTGTCACTACCAAACTGGCGGGACAGATGCCTTTCCTGCCGCCGTCCATGGGAGCTGCATGAATACTATATGTTTGGTTTGGCTCTTGATGCTGAACCAGTTAGGCCGTGTCCATAAATCGCGACGCCTTCCCCATCATGTTCTGACTCCTCTCCACGCGCCCCTCACTAATATTTCTAAGCCCGTGTTTTAAAGTGACAGCTTCTGTAGTCACGGGCGTGTGGGCGCTACAAGCAGAAGCTTCAAAGCGGAGGCAGGGCCTGAGCGAGTGGCGGCGGCGGCAGCGAGGCAGAGCCGTGTTTTCTGTCGTTTGTTTTTAATCCCCCATAGGGAATCTCTCTGTGTAATTACTTTCTTTAGAAACCCAGAGCAGTGGGACCATTTCTCATAACAAAACCAAAATTACGAGGGTTTGCACGGGGGGAGCAGACACATGCTGTTAATTGATCAGCCAAGGCTCTGGCCCTGCATGACAGACTGTTAAAGTAAGGATCCTGATCATGTTCAGCGAGAGTGTAACAACTTCTAATGTATGACACATCACTTAAACCTGCTGACCTCCATGAAATGTCACACACAGTGTTGGGAAGCAAACATATACACACAATTCCTCATGCTGCATTCTTAATTAAAGGAATACATTCTGGCTGCCCCCTTTCACAGCAAAGTTTTAAAGTAAGTCCATCTTAGAGCTTACTTTGGTCAAACTTTGAAAATGTTGGGTTGCACAGTCTCGTGGCGTAGTGCAACGTTCAGAGGTTTTTGCATGTTGAGGATAAGGCTCAGCTACCATCAAACCAAACTGTCACAATTGTGAGTTATAGATATTTGTACTGTCTGGAGTTGCTTCATTGTGGTGACCATCTTAAATTACATTGACTGCTATATTACAATATGATATTAACTCAAGTTGTTGGGATGATAAAACTGTTAGAAAATTTATTGTTCATTAACTGAAATCGTGACGAGACCACGTAAATGTTGAATCTGATTAAAACTGTGAAGAGAATGGACCATACAACCCCAGATCTGGTTCTGAGTGAAGCTTTATTGTTTACGGCTGAAGCAAACAGAGCAGCGCTGTCCGAAACCGGAAGTTCTGGTCTATAAATACAGGGATCTTCAGTGCCTGGTACGCCCACTACAGGTCTACGGCTGAATCGCAGACACTCTGAACAGCAATGCTTCCCTGATGTTTTTATAAACAGTTTTTATTATGTGTTGTCATGTTTCAGGCATGTATCTAAACCTATTTAAATCAAGATATAACAATAGATTATAAAAGTCAAGCCTTATAAAGGAAAACTAAGAAAATGGTGTGGTGCTTCTAAAACCAGTTTCTAATTGACTAATAAATTCCTTCAATACTATGTCTCAATATCACAAAGCATTTCACAATACAACACAATTCACAACAATGACTGATATGATGCAATGTGACCCTGTACATCTAATGATTACTTTCTGAGTGTGTCAGTAAAATCTGTCTTGGAGTTCAGAAGATATTTTGCCAACAGATATGTTCTCTCCACAATTAATGACCAAGTTTCATGCAAACATAATGTGCAATATGCAAAGCTCAAACTATGTCCTGGGGATGAGTCTTAACTGCTACTATTACTAGCTCAATATCTGTAAAAATTGGTTGAGTTTTAAATCTTGTTTGCTAAGGCTGCTTCACTGTGAGGTCTTAAATGGTGTTGTCTCCAAAGTTTAATTAGTTGTAGACAAACCTTGGACAACAACTACATTGTTTCATTAAAACTGGTGGTTCACAAGATATTTTCCTAACAATAAAAACCTAAGATCAATGAGACTGATATGTCACAAACTTTATCTTCTAAATCAAGTTTGCACTCACTCTGCTTACTTAAAGTAGAACACTGAGGAAAATCTTAAAATAAACTTTTTCCACATCTTCAAGTTAGCAGCACCTTTTTTTGCTTCCATGCATTTTTTTAGTACAACAGGGCAGGAGTACATTCTTATCTTTAAGGTACAGTGCATCATTCTTTGGTCAAATTTCCCTCAGGTATTCAAGAAAGAGCAAAGCTCCAAAAGCAAAAAGAAAACTCAACTTTTCAATGAATATGCATACAGCAAATTTTCCTTTAAAATTCCCTTTTTGTAAACCATCTCTACAGCCTCACAGTGTTCAGTGCCTCGCTTGTACTTACACTGACATCTTGGTCTATTCATAAAACGGGATATGGGATAATGTTTCAGTGATTTTGAAAGCAGCTCTCCTCAACTCTGGTAATAATGGAATGGCAGCGTCAAAGACATGAGAAAGCCATTTCCTAAAAGCTAAGGAAGTGCTAAGAGAGTGAGATGGACAAGCTGAATGTTCGACTCTGCACTTAACTTCCCTGTCACACACATAAGTAGCTGTCATTAAAACATGGAGCGACACACAAACATGTGCGTTCACAGTGTGGGTGCAGGTGCGCGTGGAAAAATGCACATAATCAATGCATCTGAGCAAGATGGAAACAATATGCTGATGATGTATTGTGACAAGAGGAAGATCGGTATTGTTGGTGAGAGACTCCCTTAATGTTAATCACTGTGGTGAAGGCGATGAGGTTTTTGCCCATGTTCCTGTGTGAGTGTGTTGGTTTGTCTGTAATGTTGGAAAAATTTTATGAATCTTTGAAAAAAGTTTAAAGAAAAGTTTAGAAAAAACCCGTTGGACTGACCTCTAAAACAAATTAACTTTTGGAGTCAACCTGATTCAAGATGGCTGCCACAGCAAAGCAATTAAAGTGAACACAAAAAAATGGCCTATAACGCAATACATTTTAGAAATGTTGAGCTAAATTTTAACGTGGCAGTAGCTGAGAATGATGCCCAACTGATACTTTGAGTGCTAACACATCACACCAAGTTTAAAAACTTTGCAAATTGGGATCAAATCTGTCAGCAAAACACAAATTCACAAACCACTAAATAAATTTTAAAGGGATCCACGATTAGTTAACATGGATGGAGCCATTTTATTTACACGCAAAGCATTCTGGGTAAATGATGACATCAACTAGGTCATTGGTGCGAGGTGCTAGGGAGCTATTTCCACCCTGAAGGTTAATCTTGGACAATATCTGATGATCGACTCTTTTAACTGAAACCAGAGAGCGTTGACAGAGAGGAGAAGGTAGAAATGACTCAGTCTGTAACTGAAAATATAGATGGAGGACAACAGAGCTGCTTCATGGAAGAAGAACCTCAGCTTAGCCTGTTAGCCTTCACGCTAGCCCTCACTCTATACTGCCTTATATGTATTAGCTCGGCGCTAGCGTGACAAACAAACTAAAATGAGGTCCTCCATCCATATTTTCAGTTGCAGACTGAGTCATTTTTACGTTCCCCTCTCTGTCATGTGGATGGAGGACCTCAGTGACGAGAGGAGAATGTGAAGAGCTGAGCTAATACATATATATGGTGATAGCATCGGGGCTAACACTAAAGCTAACAGGCTAAGCTGAGGTTCTTCTTCCATGAAGCAGCTCTGTTGTCCTCCATCTATATTTTCAGTTACAGGCTGAGTCGTTTCTACCNGATTAGTTGTAACATTAGACTTTATTTGATAAACATTTATTTTAATTGTAAAATAAAGACTGTAAAAACACTGTAGGCTGTTTAGTTTGTAATTTAAAAAATATATATTTTAACATGGACGGAGCCATTTTATTTACACGCAAAGAAAGCATTCTGGGTAAATGATGACATCAACTAGGTCATTGGTGCGAGGCTGCTAGGGTTAATCTTGGACAATATCCTGACAGAGAGGAGAAGGTAGAAATGACTCAGCCTGTAACTGAAAATATGAATGGAGGACAACAGAGCTGCTTCATGGAAGAAGAACCTCAGCTTAGCCTGTTAGCCTTCACGCTAGCCCTCACGCTATATTGCCTTATATGTATTAGCTCAGCGCTAGCGCGACAAACAAGCTAAACTGAGGTCCTCCATCCATATTTTCAGTTGCAGACAGTCATTTTTACATTCCCCTCTCTGTCATGTGGATGGAGGACCTCAGTGATGAGAGGAGAATGTGAAGAGCTGAGCTAATACATATATATGGTGATAGCATCGGGGCTAATGCTAAAGCTAACAGGCTAAGCTGAGGTTCTTCTTCCATGAAGTAGCTCTGTTGTCCTCCAACTATATTTTCAGTTACAGGCTGAGTCATTTCTACCTTCTCCTCTCTGTCAACGCTCTCTGGTTTCATTTAAAAGAGTCAATCATCAGATATTGTCCAAGATTAACCTTCAGGGTGGATATAGCTTGCTAGCAGCCTCATGACGATGACCTAGTTGATGTCATCATTTACCCAGAATGCTTTGCGAGTAAATAAAATGGCCCCATCCGTGTAATATATTTTTAAACTTTTAGTTTAAAAATGATAAAAACTGAACAGCCTACAGTATTTTAACAGACTTTATTTTACAGTTAAGGTATATGTTTATCATATAAAGTCTAATGTCACAACTAATCGGGGATCCCTTTAATAAAACTTTCAGACATTAATCATCGGGAGATGATATATAACTGATTAAAATTTGTATTCAGCCCAATTCAAGATGGCTACCACTGCCAACTGATATTATGTAACACAA